GGGGAGGGGGAGGGGGAGGCGGTGCGCAGCCAGCTCGCCGTGCGACCTATACGAATTCGGGCCCGCAGGCTTGGCCCTTCACGCCCGCCCCGCACGAGCGGGGCGGTGGCGGCCGCGGCGGGGGCAGGGCTTCGGTCTCGCCCGCGGGCGAGGGCGGCCCCTGAGATCCGACGTTGCAGCAAAAGGGACATCCTCGCAAGAAATCGCGACCGGAGCCCCGGACCCGATCTTTCTGCGCCATCTTCTCGGGGGTGGGCAGAACCTCCACCCTGACACGTCGATCAGTGAATTGTCCGTTTCCCGTCCTCGAAAGGGCGCCGCGGCCGTCCTTTTCCCGGCGTGTGCCCGCCAGATTTGGGCCCGAGGTCGTTTTCACCAAACCACGTTTTACTGAAGGGAGGTCCGTCCATCCCCGAAGCCCGATCGCTCTGGGAGGGTCCCGGGGCCCGAGCTGGAGCGAAAAGGCCCGTTGTGAGAAAGCGCACGAGAAGATGCCAGGACCTCAGGGGCCCCGAGCTCGCGGGGCCCTGGCTCGCGAGCAGGCCCTGCCGCGGCGGGGCCGCGTCGGGGGACGCCGGCCCGTCGACCCGCCCTGGCCCTGGCCAGGGCTGGCCCTGCACCAGGCTGGGGGAGCACTATCGGTCGGAGGTGGACAGAGGGGGCTGCGGAGGGGGCAGGGGTACTCCAGATTTCGTAACAAAGGGAGGGGGGTCTCATTTCGGGGGGGTCTCTTCCAGGCTATCTTGGAGGGCCTGGGGGGGTCTGGGGACGATGTTTTGGAGGGTTCTCCCACGGGGGGGGTCTGAAATGGCTTGTCTTGGAGGGTCCAGACCCCTTCCCTTGTATTACGAAATCTGGTGTAGGGTTCGCATGTGGCACCCTGGCGAGGGCCCGCGCCGATCGGCTATGACAACCGGCAAGGAAACGATCGTGCCAAGAGGCGCTCGGAGCCCTCGCCGTCTCAGAGAGCACTCGGGGCCCGTGCGACCATTTCGGATGTGGATAGACCTCCTACCCTGACACGTCGATCAAGGAATTGGCCGTCTTCGGTTCGCGAGAGGGCGTCGCGGCCGTCGTTTTTGCGGCTCCAGGTCCATCGGTTTCGGCCCCAGGCCGTTTTCACAAAGGGGAGGTTTACTAAAGGGAGGTTTGTCCACCGCCGAATCGGAGAGAGGAAGAGAGAGTCAAGAGGGGGAAAACCCAGGAAAATATGTGAAAGTACGGGAAGTCGGGGGAAGGCGAAAATCTTCAAAAGAGGGACAGTAGGGGGAATCCTGGGATTTGTGTGTGTGTGTGTATTCATTTGTGTGCCCCTGGGCCCCTTCAGAGAAAGAGAGAGAGAGAGAGAGAGAGAGCGAAGGAGAGAAAGGGAGAGCGATCGGATAATTAAGTAGGCGGGAGTCCCGTCGACAGCCGGCTACTGCGGTAGCCGAGGCCGCCATCGCACTCTGTGGCGGTGGTGCACACCTTTGTGGGACCAGGGGATGTTGAAACAACCACCCCCCGGCGCGAAGCGACTGAAGTAAAAGACTGGGTGGTGAGCAGGCGATGCGCCACGCCTCTCTCTGTGCCCCGCGTGGAAAAAAAGGGCCCAAGTCGGCAAAGCCCCGGTTGGCAGCCGCGGGACAAGGGCTTGACCGCTGAGCGGCTTGCGAACGATGGGGCGTCCCCTGCCGCCGCAGCCAGGCCCCGACGACGCGTGGCCGCGCGGGCAGGCAGTCGGGCTGGCAGGAAGAAGGGGCCCACGGCCGAGCTGATGGCCCCGTGCGGGCATGCGCGGCACCGAGAGAAGGCCATGCAGCGTCGGGACGGGTGACGCCCCGTCGGGCGGAGGCGAGAGTCGGAGGGAGGCGAGGGCAGCTTGAGCGCGGCGAAGGCGTTGCATCAGCAGGCCCTGCTGGGAGGTCTAGGAGCGAACCTGGCTCGAAAGCGCGGTGAGCCGGAGACCCAGGTGGTCATATGACGCCTGGAGTTCGGCGGCTCGACCTCAGGCAGGACGCGGAGCATAAGGCGGGCGGGCAGCAGTAGCCCTGCTGGCGAGGTGCGTGGCGGGGTCCGCGCGGCGGTCAGCGCCTCGCGTGGGCAGTGGTTCAGGCTTGGGGGCGACGGCGGGAGTCGCCGCGGGGGCCTGTCGACCGATAGGGAGATGCCTGGCTAACGGTGCTCGGGCGGCGGAGGGGGGGGGGCCAGGCCAGAAGCGCTGGTGGCAACAGCTACCCCAGTGGGAGGCCCCCTGGCCTGGTCGGCGTGGCGCTCGTGCTTGGGAGTGATAAGGCTAGCGCACGACCGCCGCGGGGCGGCGCGGAGTGAGCCAGGGGCGCATGGAGCTGGCGGCGGCGGCGGCTGGGCCCTGGTACGTGTGTCGGGCTCAGCAGCCGGAGCGTGGTTGACCGTGGCTTAGGGTGGCGGGAGACTTGGTCTCTTCGCCGTTCCTGCTGCCCCTGAGGCCGAACGTGTCTCCCTTGTCCTCGGGACCTTGTGGCCGTGTTGCAGGTCGGCGGCGGCGATGCGGTGGGGCGGTGGCGGGGCCGGCTCCCCAGTCGGCACGACTGCGGTCAGTGCCCCTGGGCCGTCACCGTGGCGTGCAGCAGCAACGGCCGTGCTGTTGGAGGGCGTCCGGCCAGGCTCACCGGAGGGCACGACTGCGGTCGGTGCCCATTGGCCAGTGGCTGGGTGGGGGCCGACGTAGGCCTGGTGGCAACGGGTCGAGGTCCGCCGAAGCCAAATGGGTCTTTGTCTTCGTCGCCGACGGGGGCGACGAGGCGTTGAGCCTCCTCCCAGAGGTCGTCGAGATCCTCGCGGAGACGCTGGTGGCCGCTGGGCGCGGCCGCCGCGGTGAACATGGGGTTGGGTTCAAGCTTGTCCAGCTGGGCGCTGATGTGGCCTGCTCGTCTGTGAGGGAGCGGGAAAGTGCGGTGTCGCTCGTCGTAGATGGCTACAGCGACGCCATGCAACGCTACGGCCAAGCGGTGGCGCTGTTTGGCCTCCTCAGTCAGGTCAGACGGCAGGTGGTGAAGGGCGACCGCGTAGGTGGCCAGATGGTCGGCTTGGCGGTTGGACTCTACCGCGGCCGAGTCGATCGCGCCAGATTTCCTGGCCCCTCTGCGCGCGAGACGTTCAGCGCGCGACGTGAGCTGCTTCTTATTCCTGCCGCGTATTGAGCAACGTCGACGAGAAACAAGACCGCGCGCGATGTACGCCGCGCCCCGCTCTGGCCTCTCACGTTGCATCGTGGGCCCTCTTTCCCACGGCTGGAGGGGTCCAGGGGTCGATCTTGGTTTGATTGGGCGCGCCCAAGGTCACTGTTGCCAAAGGTCTCCTTTTCGTGGTCACGACAGCGGGCGCGCCGGCGGCGAACCGCACTTGCTTGAGGCATTATGATTTGCCGCCCGCCCAGCTCCTCAACCCGACGGGCCGCAGCATCGACGACAAAAAAATCCACGCTGACGAGCAGGCGTCCCCGCGCGATGTGCGCCGCGCTCCATTCCCGCTACGCGATTCGCAGCGCCGACGAGGAGAAAGTATATGCTGGCAAGAAAAACGTCGACGTTGCGGTGTTTTTTGACAGGTAGGACGGGGGGTCCCGCGTAGGGTTGGCCAGGCGTCCGCGCGCGATGTGCGCCGCATCCCGTTACTGCTGCACTTTTCGCAGCAACGACGACAAGAAAATCCATGTTGACGAGGAAAACGTTGACCTTGTATTGTTTTTGATCGGTAGGACGCGACCAGCCGCTTAGGGTTACCCAAGCGACGTTTATTCCGTCCTATTCGTCTTACATTTTTCG